GCACCAACCCTTGGTTTTCAATTGCTCAATTTACTATCAATAATCCTTATAATCTCGTGTATAAACAAGCAGTCATACCTATATACGTATTTCACTCTTGTAAAAACCTTATTAATTAATATTATTATTATTATGATTATATAGGTCGCAATTAATGTCAGCAACTAATTTATTTAGCACGCGATTTAAATAAGATTTAAAGGGAAATTTACTGTTTTATCCTTGCAATTTATATGCGTTGATAAACTGTAAATATTATATAAGGGTACTAAAAATATAAATATGTATGGATAAAACGCCGTTTATATAAGTTGCCACACATAAAAATTATACAATTACCACGCCATATAACACTTAGCTAAAGAAAAAATATGCAAATAGTACTTGTGGTAATTTTACTATTAAAGGCCGCCAGTACTATAAATATACTTGCGACAAAGTACTCCGTTTATAGACTCAAAATGACATGTACAAAATGCAAAACACTCTTATTTGAATTTGCCTTATTGTGGCATAATTTGTATTGCAAATTACTAGAGTGTGCTACATTTACAGCAGACTATAATAATTTTACTTATAGAGCAAAAATCCCTAAAAGTACCTAAGTACACGGTATAATAAATTATTCGATATAACGTACGTCATCAGGTCATAAGTCCAAGGAATCTATAAATGATCGTTGCCTACTTATATTTTAATGCGGTTAGTAAATTAATATTATGGGATAGTGTTACAAAAATGCTATAAATTTCGAAATTGTTAGGTATTGCAATATTTAGGAAATATCGATTTGTTTTATTGATCGCATATTTTGACTAGATAGTAATTTATTCAATTAAATTATTAGTTCCCAACTATTAAAACACTCGTCACTCTTAGATAAGCACGGTTGAACATATATCTGTATTTATTACTATTGTTGAGTACTTTTCTACCAAAGAATACACCAAGGTCATGTTTGTTTTTTCTAGCTCAAATATCCAAAATTTGTTATTTGATATTTTAGAAAAAAAATCGTGACCAATAAATTACCATATCCACTACTGGTATATAAATAACATCAGAACTGTAGCTCAAACCGCGCCCTAGGAGCGTGAATAATACTTTAGGATGTGAAAGATACATTAATTAATCGTTATAGACATAAACATTGCCTGGGTAAGCCTTGCCCTTTAGACTGAATGTATTTATTTATAAAAAACCTCAACAAACATAATGTGCACATAGATAGAATTTTGAAACAAAAATAAGGAGATTTTACAGGTACAGTCTAAGAAAGATATTTAATTTGTCTTCTTGATGCAATCACTTACATTGGGCGGCACCAGTTAGGAAACAAGTAGATAATTTCACCACATTTGAAGCAAAAGAGTTCAGGAGCTTCTCCACCAATACACAGCCCACAAACTTGAACTCGTGTCAAACTCTTGTGGTTTAAGATTTAGGAGGGAACCCTTCTGCAGAAGGAAACAAAATGAGCCAATAAGCTTCTGAGTGCCAAGTTCCATAGTTGTAGGGTCATCCATGTATACTAGACATATTCTATTCTGTAATCCTAGTAATACATTATCCATCACTATTTGGAATGTTGCTGGTGCGTTCTTTAATCCAAAGGGCATTCTGCTAAATTCGTAATGACCATTTTGAACATTAAATGCTGTCTTGGGTATCAAGTTTTCATGCATCTCGACTTGATGAAAGCCAGAGGCTAAATCTAGTGTCGTAAAATAATTACTACTACTATATCAGTGATATTAGGTAAGGGATATCTTTCATCAATAGTTTTTTCGTTTATCTTTCGATAATCAACGACCATTCTCCATTTTTGTATGCCTGCGGCATCTTATTTCTTAGGTTCTATCCACTCCAGGGTTGACTAGGGACTACAGGATGGTCTGATTGCGTTATCTTCTAACATTTTTTGTTTTATTTGAGAATTTACTTCTTGTTTATGCACTGAGGATATCTATAAGTTTTCGTGAGCACTGGTATTTCTTCTGTTGTTTTAATTTCATGTTTAACTTGATTGGTGAATGTCAATTTTAAGTTTGGCTTACGTGTTTTAAAGCATCAAATTCCTTTGAGTTTAAAAGATTAGTACGTAGCGACTTTATAGGGTCATGTGCATATTCATAATTTTCTAATGAAGTCATTTGCTCTATATCAAATATCTCAAACTGTTCATCAGCATAAGGAAAACTTATTTTCGGTAAGTTATTTATATTATACGGGACAATAATAGGCTTATTTATTAAGTTGTGTACTTCTAAAGGCACCATTTCATTAATGACTGTTGCTATTGTCGAAGGAATATAAAATGTTTACTTTTTTATCGGTGGTGTAAGAATTTCAATGCCATCAACTTGTATTTGTATTGAAATAACATATTTGAATTGGGTTGCTTGGAATCTCAAAATTTTGATTTTTGAAATCTGTTCTATATTGAGAGGGAATTGTTGTTTTATTATTAGAAAGAAGCATATTAGAAAACATAGGCGCCGGAACCATGGGGGCTTGAGCCCCCGGAGCGAATTTGCTATGGGGGCTCCGCCCTCATAGTGATTTTGGCTTGTAGTGTATGTAGTGTGTGTAGTGAGTAGGTACAAAAATATTGAGTTCCTGATCCCAACATTCCTAACTATTTATTTTTATATCAAACTTGTGTGTTTTATGTTATTTTTGCTTTTGCTATACCGACTTTGACAAACAGTTTGCCTTTATACAAAAAGCTTAGATGACAGATACCCATTACCCAACATAACGGATCTCTTGAACAAGCTGGGACGCTGCCAGTATTTCACCACCAGATTTAGCTAGCCGCTTCCACCAGATCCAGATGCGTGGAAACGACATCCAAAAAACCGCATTCAGCACAAGAAACAGGCATTATGAATTCTTGCGCATGCCCATAGGTACTATCCACACTGGGGATTACCAGAGACTACAGGATGGTCTGATTATGTTATCTTCTAACATTTTCATTATTTAAAAATTTACTTCTTGTTTATGCACATGAGGATATCTATAAGTTTTCGTGTGCACTGGTATTTCGTCTGTTGTTTTGATTTCATGTTTAACTTGATTGGTAAAGGTCAATTTTTCGTTTGGCTCGTGGAAAATTTTGGGAAAAGCTTTAATTACATGTTTTAAAGCATCAAATTCCTCTGAGTTTAAAAGATTAATACGTAGCGATTTTATAGGGTCATTTGCATATTCATCATTTTCTAATGGAGTCATATTTTCTTCTATATTAAATATCTCAAACTGTTCATCAGCATAAGGTTAACTTATTTCCGCTAAGTTATTTATGTTATACAGGACAATAATAGGCTTATTTATTCAGTTGTGTACTTCTAAAGACACCATTTCATTAATGACTGTTGCTATTGTCGAAGGAATATAATATGTTTCATTTTTTATCGGTGGTGTAAGAATTTCAATGCCATCAGCTATATTTTTATTGAACCTGAACAACAAAGGGTCTCAGTGTGAAGGGGTCTTAATGTCTATGGTTTTAGCCGACGATTGTTTCCATTAGAATCTGGTTCAATTGAATTTATTTGATCCGGCATTGAAGTTCATACCTTTAAAAATGCCTTTAATCGCCTGGTCTCAAGATCAGGATCAGTAAAAATTACTGTTTCAACTTTCATAGAATCTCTCTTAAAACATACCTAATAAACCAGAAACAGGAAATTGTTAAGATATAACACCATATTTGATTAATGAATAAATTATTATATTATCTTCTTCTAACGATCTCATCAATGTGTAACAGCAAAAAGAGGAATAATTTATACAATATTATAATATGAAAGAAAATATATACCTATTCACCTGCCTCATTATGATTTAACGTAGATTATGGATCTAGCAATTATTATGCCAATGCGATGCAATACAGGTTTTCATTAAACATAGAATAGTTGAACAATGGCTAAAATTTTGCATCGCAATGTTGAGCAAGTTTACATCCAATTATGATGATGCGATTGAAAGGAAAACCATTAATGCTCCTTTAACAACACACAAAAAATGCTGAAAATATGGATGTAAATGTAGTCATTTCAATTTACAAATAATTATATACCTTTGCAAGTGTTTCTCACGTGTACCAAATTGCGAAATGCCAACATCAAATTGAGATTCGAAGAGGCGGATAATGCGTTTAAACTGCATTATTTGTTTTGTTATTTTGAGAATTTCACTTTTATTATAATTTTAGAATCGCATTGTTGCTATTTTTCTCACACTATTGCGGAACTTGTGTCGTAACAGTTGCATATTTGTGTTTATTAAAGGAAATTGTCTAATGAAATATATGTGACTCATGTTTATTAATTATTATTGCATTACAACACACCAATCAAATCAAATATTCACTTGCCTGAAAATTAGATTTGACAGTACAATAAATTCTATTGCAAAAAAAAAGGTGTTACCACAGTCAAATGTCTAGGGTCTCGACTGTAAGTGACCCAGAAAAAAAAAAGACAATATTATTACGAAATCATATCTAAATGTACATTCAGATTTTAAAAAACTTGGTTTAAGACACCTAAATCTGATAGGATCAGTAATACCATTAACCACAAGGGTATAACTTCGTCATACCGTTTATAAAAAATTCATAAACATACCATGTATGGGTAGCGATTATCCTTATCAAGGAGCAATTGTTCCGGTCATGCTTTTTGAAGAGAAACTCGGACATCTTTTGAATAAAAAAACTATTAATAATGTTCAGTTTTCAGAAGGTAGTCTGACGAATCACATACTAAATTTTACCAACCAAGAAAACCTTTCATAATTATCGTGTTTAGAAGAAAATGTGTAATCATTGACCAAAGAGACCTTATAAAGACTGAAAGTGATGTTGAATGGTGGTAATAGTGTTGGTAAAAGACCCAAGCGGTCAAAATTTGCCAAATTTTCCAAGAAAACGAGTCACCTATAGTTCGCGGATTTTTATTAAACCAAATTTGTCTTATTGCTCGCAGGTCGAACCGGGAGACACTTTTGCTACAACCAAAGAGGGTAAGTCAACCATCTGTTGTATATCTGATAATTGTTATATCCAGCTGCAAAGCGCATAATGATTGAAATCTTAATTTGCAGAAGAATGGGTCAGTAAAAAGAAAACCGAAGTTCTAAATACCAAGCAAATTGAAACCAGAGTGAAAAGGCAAGTGGTTCTCGAAGATGGAAAAGTCGTCGAAGATTCTGGACCTATGGTCACCACCAATACGACAGAAGATACTGAGACACAGGAACATCATCAAACAGAGGTAAATAATTTTGTCTATATCAACAAGAACAATTTCAAAATGATTTTAGCATCGAAAACTCGGAGATGACGATACGGACGGTCAAAATGCCCTCGAAGGTGGCCCTGATACAAACGTGGATAAATCGAAATGGGTTTCAGTGCCGAATTCCGATGGAGTGGTGCGCGAAGTCAAAGAACGCCGAGTGGTGTCGAGAGAGGAAACTGAAGAAGTCAAGGAAACGGAGGACGTTCAGCATTTGGGAGATATCTCAGACGAGGTAAGTCTTATATATTTATCTATGAAAGTATATTAAGGTTATGAGAAATCTAAAGAAGTTGGAGGAAGATCAAAGCAAATTTTCAATAAAAAGATTAGTTGAAGGAATTTCAAAGGAAGTACAAGAAATATGAATTTAGGAGAGTAATAATTCTAATTTTAAGATTTTTTTGCTCCATATCCTCTCCATACTACTTTCCAAAATGAATTGGATTAAAGGATATCTTCCTGAGCCAGGGTTGGCATACAGAAAAACCCACCATCAATATTGATAGAAACCCAGTGGGCTTTGGGCTTTTTGTATCAATAACCCACTCATACAAAACTCATTCGTACCATAGTGCCAAATATTGATCCAAAATTTAGGATTACGATATAATAATTCCATTATCTCTGGCGGCTCCTATTATGATTATTTGAAGTTCTTGAAGTAATTCGTTGAGTGGTGGAAAATCTACCCAATTGATTTGGCTCTTCAATCTATGTTTTGGTATTGTTAATTGTTGTGGTTCCTTAGCTTCAGATTTTCTCGCGCGTTTACTATTTTCACCTTCTACAACTACAATAGCCATATGTACAAGCGTTTATTTTTTAGGTCTTGTTGGTCGTTTTCTAAATTTATCATCAATAGTTTCACGTGACTTTTTCAATTCTTCAAACTCTTGAGGTGATCCAGTTTTGGCTCAGTCTTCTTTTTCTTTGGCTTGATTTTGTCTTTAGTTACAGGTTTTAAATCTTTTCACCAAAGGAGTTTGTTTGGATTCTGCTGAAGGTGGGAAGTCCACATAATTTATTACACTATATAATCTGAATCCTAATTCCGCCTTTTTGTCTTCTGACTTTTTCTTGGAAGGTAGTACAATTTCTTTGGGCTTCTCCTCTCTTGGTTTTGGTTCAAGAGGTTCTGTCTCATCAGTTGCCTTTTCAAAAGGTTTCAGTTTAATATCCTCAAGCTTTGGGTTTTGTTTATACTTCAAACTTATTTCTTCAGGTTCTTCCTGTTGTATTTGTTCAGGTTCGCCCTTTTTCAGAGTAATCTCCTCGGATGTTTCTTCAGGCTTAATTATCTTTTTCTTTTTAAGCGGTACCTTAATTTTCTCGGTAGGATGAGTATATCTTCTTCTTTTCAATTCAACATCTTTAATGTCTATAGATTCGAATGGTGTCTCCCGTATCTTTTTGCTTAATTGGTTTAGCAACTCAGGTTCTTCTGTTTTCTTGATGTCAACAACAAATTCTTCAGGTGCTCCAGGGATTTTGGTTGTTTTCTTTACTTTTGGCAATTCGTCATCTTCCGGTTTTTTAGGTAGTTGGCATTTTCCAATTTTCAATTTCTGATCTACCTCAGGTTTCTCAGGCTGCTTTTTAGGCTCCTTTTCATATTTGAAAGCATCATCGACCTTTTCGAGCACGTTTTTCTTCTGCTCTTCATATTCCAGGTCAAGTTTTTCTAAATCCATCATTTCGTGAGAAACTTCTTTGAGTTTTATGCGTTTTGGTTCCTTCTTCAGTATTCCTTGACAATATTTGGTAATATTTCTGCTTCGCTTTGTGGTGGGAAAGCTACATAAATTATTCGGCTTTTTAGTCTTGGGATTTTGTCTTTTTTCTCTTCTGGTTTTGGTAAAGGTCGATTTGGTTTTTTAGGCTTAGCTTCTAGAGCTTCAGGCCAACTTTCCTTCCGATCTTTCTGTGGTTTTTCTTTAGATATTATTTCTGGTTGTTCGATAACTTCTATGATTACCTGAGGTTCTTCTGGTTTTGTTTTCTTTCTAATAACCTTTTCAATAACCTCAGTATCTAACTGTTACTTCTTTCTTCTCTTTTTGAACCTTTCTCTTTGGTTTCTTCACTTCCACCGTAACTTCTTCTTCAACCTCATCTGTAACCAATTCTTGATGCTTTATGGATTCGACTTTTTCAGGCTTCTCTCCGACATCTTTCTGTCTTACTTCTGATTTTTTTTCCTCAATAAATTCAGCTTCATATTCAACAATATCAACTTCCTGTTCCTGTTGAACTTTAAACTCTTCATTTCCCTTTTGTTTTTTGTGTGATTTCAATTTAATTTCTTCAACTTCTTCATCAGGAACAGGTTTCTTAGGAGCTTTCATAATCACGTTTTCATCTTCCTCTGTTGAAGGGTTGGTGGATATACATTTTGTTAGTATGGTTTCTTCAGTTTCAGGAGCTGCTTTCTTGAGTCTTGTTTTGGTTTTAACAGATTTTTCTTTATCGTCTTCAGAGGATATTCTGGTTTTTCATATTTTTTCATCATCATGAGGAATGTCAAAAATGGTTCAAATTCGGGCTTATCCACATATTTTTCTGGAAATTTTTCTTGAGTTCCTTATATTTCAGGCTTACTTTTCTTTAACTTGTGCTTCTTTGACTTTTTCTGGTCTTTTCTTTAACCTTGATTCTTCCTCAGCTGGTGGTATCTTGCCTTTGCCAATCTTAATTTCCACTGGTTTAACTTCATCTTGTTCTTTTACTTTCTTTGGTTTTCTTTCAAATTTATAGGCTTCATCCACCTTTTCAGGCTCAGCTTCTTTAGTTTCTCAAATTCCAAGAATCTAATTGGTTTTAACCATATAGAGCTTAATTACACTGAAATCGGATTAAAATTAACGGAGTTGTGAGGCAAAAACTGTCTCAGTATCATGTTTGACAAATTTTCAATGTTCGATAAATTCAATTTTGAAGCTTCTTAGCTCAGCTGTCAAGATGTTGGACCCAAATTCAAATCTGAATTGATAGGTTTGTAGAGAATTTAATTGGCTTTAATTAGAGCTTAATTGCAATAAAATCAAGTGAAAATTGAAGAAGCTGTAAGTCAAAAGCCGCCTCAGTGTCATTTTTGGAAAATTTTCAATGTTCGATAACTTCAATTTTGAAGCTTCGCAGATGCAAGGCTGTTGAAACCAAATTTAAATCTCAAATAACTGGTTTGTAGAGAATTTATTTGGCTTTAATTAAAGCTTAATCACACTGAAATCGGATAGAAATTAACGGATTTGTGAGGCAAAAACTGTCTCAGTATCATGTTTGACAAATTTTCAATGTTCGATAAATTCAATTTTGAAGCTTCTCAGCTCAGGTGTCAAGATGTTGGACCCAAATTTAAATCTGAATTGATAGGTTTGTAGAGAATTTAATTGGCTTTAATTAAAGCCTAATTGCGTTGAAATCAGGTGAAAATTGAAGAAGCTGTAAGTCAAAAACTGCCTCAGTGTCATTTTTGGAAAATGTTCAATGTTCTATAAATTCAATTTTGAAGCTTCTCAGCAGGTGCGAAACTATTGAAACCAAATTCAAATTTTAATTTATAGCTTTATAGAGAATTGAATTGACTTTAATTAGAGCCTTGTAACATCAAAATCAAATGAAAATTAACGGAGCTGTCTCAATGTCATTTTTTGCAAATTTTCAATTCTGAAGCTTCTCAGGTGCAGAAAAGTTGAAACAAATATTCAGTGTTGTCTAGCTACGTAAACACAAAACCCTACAAAAACCTAATAGAAATTTTGAGACACTTGGGTTTTTGCCTACCCTGTCCTGAGCATTCTTGTAAATTCCATAACTACAGCTTCAGCTAGATCTTTATGAGCAATTTCATGTTTTCCAGCAAGACACTTTCCTAATTTGTTTCTTCAGGTTTTTCAACTAAGTATTAGACTCTTCAATGAACATCTTTTGGAGACATTTCAGGTTCTTCCTGATTTGTGATCTTTTAACTACGTCAGTAAAATCTTCCTCAGTTAATTCAGAATCTTGTACAACAAATACATTTTCTCCATTAATTTCGTCAGCCACCCAAGCTGCTCCAGATTCCTTACCAGCTACATATATTCCTGGGTCATTTCAGGTTTTTCAACAACTGCTTCTTCTTATAGCTTGTACTTGATAGCTTGATGGCACCTTTCTCATATGAGACCAGAGACTGATAAGACAGAGTTTTACATTCATTATTGTGAAAAGTTTCCTGTGGCCTCAACAAGGTGGTGATCCTTTCCATAAGCTTGCATTGATTCAATTTTTAGTTTAAGTATCTTGTTTAACAATTTACAATATCTATGATAGTTGTCTCAAGTTAGGAAATCGCGCCTTCATTCAACTTTTCAGAGAAACCTCGAACGTTCCAAATTACCAATCTCCAAGGGCTCCAAGTACCACTTCTCGAGTTAGTTCTTCAATTATAAGAAAAGCTTCCAGAGTTATTTCTTCTAGTTCTTTTACTGCAAGGATATCTTCGTGAGCTGTTTCAGATCCTTGAACTACATGCTTATTTCCTGGGTGAATGTCTTCAGAAGCCATAATTCAGGTTCTTGAACAAAAGTCACATTTTCCCGGATAAGTATACCCACTTCCTTTGCCTCTCTAGAAATTTTAGAATGACATATTATCAGCAATTTAAGGTTCTTTTTCTTCTCTAACTTTTATCGTAGATTTAGAAATTTCTTCAACAGCCTCAGTGGAAGTAAAGACAGTTTGTGGAAATCCATAGGAAAGAAATTCAAATTATGCAGATCTAAGAAAGTAGGTACCCACTTATTGAAGAAATCCGGGGAAGTTGGAAGATATCTGAATATGGAGTATTATCAAGAAAGTCTGAAGAAACTATACGGGGTGTCCCACTGTTCGACCGAAAACGATTGAGATAAGAACATGCAGCCTTAAAGTGCTAAATTTTCAAGATACAGGGTGTCAAAGTTCTACTTTTATTTTCGATCAAGTTCAATTATTATTCCTCAATAAAACGACACTGCTATTCGAAATTTCGTATCGGGGGGTTTGTTAGAAGGCGAGAAATATGAATTCTCTCAGGGTTTTGATATCACTAGTAGGAGGCGCCACCTGCGTCGTTTTCATGTGGACTAATTGACAAAAATCGAATATGAAAGTAAAACTTTAACACCCTGTATCTTGAAAATTAAGTACTTCAAAGCTGCATGTTCCTTTTTTTTCCCTTGTTCCAGGCCTGTCCGACTTATTCTCCCC